TGTGTGTGTGTGTGTGTGTGTGTGTGTGTGTGTGTGTGTGTGTGTGTGTGTCTTGACATGTGAGTGTGTATCTATGTACATGTATTTACCATGCCTAAGTATATTTCTCTTTATTGAGATCAATTAAATAATATTATTTTCTCTATTACTTACCTTAGTCGTATCTTATCTTTTCTCGCTCTCCCCACCCTCCCCCTCTCCCCCCCCTCTTTCTTCTCCTTTTTCCCTCAGACATTTGTGTCTATAAAACGTATCAACAAGTTCCTGATCACTGAGGATTTGGATGAGAGTAACACCACCTGGGATGAGAAAGCTGGTAGGTCTTTTCAGGAGAGATACATATCATGTCATGTTAGCTGTACTGTGTGGTTGGTCTGTAGATAGGTCGTTTGATTGGTTGATTGGTCGCTTGATTGGTTGTTTGTTTGATTGGCTGTTTAATTTGTTTCTTGGTTTGCTTGTTTGGCTGTGTGTTTGCTGGGCTGGTGAGTTGGTTGTTTGGTGGTTCGATTTGTTGTTGAATCGTTGGTTGTTTTATTGGTAATTTCACTCAGCTCGCAGGTGATAAAATTCTTAAATGTAAACTTACTGAAAATTACGTCTTAACGTAAAAATAATATCAAAATCGGACCGAGTGTATCAAAATTAACAAACTCACTCGCGGATGACTCTCTCCCTTTGCTGGATTTTGAAGATCACAAAAAAGATGTATTTTTGTTGAAATAGCATCATGTGTCATCTTCTTATCACAAAGAGAATGGACAACAGCAGTTTTAACTAAGCCTGTAAGGCAGGGTATATACCCTTTAGACTACACTGCACCCCTTTGATGTCTCGACAGAGCACGCCATTTCTGTGAAGAGGGCAACATTTGGCTGGGATAGATCTACCAGAACCACTCTGAAAAAGTGAGTACCGAAATCATGGTGTGTCTTTTCTTGCTCTCTGTTGAAAAAACCCCAACAACAACTGTTTTCTGCGAGCTTTTGAACGTGGCGGATGGTTGGTGAGTGCTCTGGTCTTGTTTTCTTCTTTTTTCTAATCAAACATCTATTGTCCTTATCTCTCCTCCTTCTTTTCTGTGTATTTCAGTCTCTAAAAAAGCATCTAGTCTTCGGCATTTATGATTTCCTGGTGTTGCAAGTGCCATAAAAATCTTACTAAAGCTAAAAACCGACAACGCATCGCCTTTTCCAGCAGTCTTTATCAAGTGCACGTTCAGTTGTAATAACCAGATAGGTAAGAAAACGTCGAACATTAAAAGAAAAAACAAAACACAACAAACCAGTTAGTCTTTCTCTCTTTTTTTGGCTCTTGTATAGTGGGACTAGAGGGGAAAACATAATGTTAAAGATCAAATAAAACGAAAACAAAAATTAAAATAATATGTGTCTCGACGTTCGTCAATTTTTGGGCACATGGGGTTATCGAGCCTGTTCATTTGCCTTCCTTTTGATGAAAAAATATCCATTTTATGGAATAGAAGTCGAGATATTTGCGATTGAAAGATGTCAGGGTTGCCTGGTTTCAGAGGTAAAATTAGCGAGAAAATGGCTGCCAAAGTTTGATAACTTCCATAGCTTCAGCGTCCCTGGAAACTGAACATTTACATTTTTTGTGCCTTTAATCAATGTTTTTCAGTAAAATCCACACAAAAATGTATTTTTAGATGGACATTAAAGGTGTTGGGCCAAAAAAAATATAAAAAATTGCTTATCGGCCAAAAATATGCCGCTTTATTTGATTTCATCATTTTGACGAGCGCCTGATTTCACCACGATGCCTCACATATGAACCCTTTCTTTCCTTCGCCTCCCCGCGTCCTGCATGTCCCCGTGAGTCAGTATCTCAATGACAGTCCCAGTGGGCAGCCTGACGGCCGTGGTGGGCCCCGTGGGCAGCGGCAAAACCTCGCTCATCAACGCCATACTGGGGGAGATGGAGAAGGTCAAGGGAACCGTCACTGTCAAGGTGAGGGATGATACTGGTGATGAAAATATTAATAATAGTAATAATAATAATAATAATAATGATTATAA